CAGTTAGCCTAAACCAGCAGACGGACTTCCCCCTAGGGGCCCCAGATTGGAGAGGGTGCAGGCCAGGCTGAGGGACACCCCCTCACCCCCATGCACAAATTTCATGCACCAGGCCTCTAGTTATGAATAATGATGGATGCAACAAATTGGATATAATATTAAAACAAAAATCTGATTATTTCCTAGGAAACAGAATTCTCAGAAAATAACAATAGTACCAGATAAAAGGATGAATATTTTAAAGTCTGTAATGACTCTTGAAACATATGGCAAAATCAGTGTTATCAATAGTTAGGATAATGTTTATAAAAGTGCCTATTTCATTACAACGACAGCAGTCATAGATACTAATGAAATCTTCTATAATCATTCTAATATCAATGACTCAAATTGATGCATTAAAAATATCCTGTAATCTTTGCTAATATTGATAGGACTCAAATTGATGCATTTTCAGTAAAAATTCTCTTAACCAATTTCCACTTCACTAATGATTGGATGAACCTGGCTCATCATTTCCTCGGTAAAGAGCCGATGTCCCGGCAGGCTAATGTACCTAGCTGTCCACTCTCCAGGGTACCTGTGCACTCCCACTTCCCTAATGAGCTGTGTGCTTATCAAGTCAGTTATTTCCATTACCAACATGTTCGAGCCAGTTATCCTCATAAGTACATAATTTAATGAAATAAAATGAGTTTATGTAAAAGGCAAATTGAACATTCTAGAGGACTGCAAATAGCTAAAATAAATGGCTGCTGAACTAGTGGCAAACAAAAATATGTAAGAAGGAGAGCATAAAACTGTGGATTCTGAACCCAGATTCCTTTGTAAATACTTTAAGTTCACACTCTATAGAAACTAGAATTGGGAGTCTTAGACCAGACCAGTGATTCTCAACAGGGCAGTACTGACCCCTAGAGGTTGTTTCAGAAACTTGTGGGGCATTTCTGGTTAGGTTTCAATACTGGTATTTAGTGGACTAGGGACAGAGATGTTAAATTTCCTGTAATGATCCAAAAAACTTTGTGAAGTCTCAGTGAGTATGTATTTAGGTATAAAGAGTCATCATTTTTCCCCTCAAGGAGGAGCAGAACTCCCCACACCTTCAGTGTGGGCTTCACATACCATTTCCTTCCAAAGAGCTCAGTGTGGAAGTGGGATGGGTGGTGGAGAATAACATTACCGTGGACACAAGCCTGACAACAGCACTGCAGCCAGGTGATCAGGGTGAACGCCAGTGACACATCATGTTGACAGCGTGTGCCTTTGAGGGGATGAGAAAGGCCCTTTACCTCTTGTCTTCCTCCTGAAAACCCATAGCCCGTTTCATCATGAGAAAATTTTCAGAAAATTCCAACTGAGAAGCACTCTATGAAGTATCTGACTAGGGCTCAAAATTGTGAGGTACCCAAAACAAGGAAAGTCTGAAAAACAATCACATTCTAAAGGAGCCTAAGCAGACATGAAGACTAATGTAATGTAGGATCCTGTAACAGAAAAAGTAGGTAAAAACGAAAAATCTGAATAAGGTATAGACAGTTGATAATAACGTATCAGTACAGGTTCATTAGTGGTGACAGATGTACCATACTAATCTTTTAAAAAGAAGGAAAACTGGGTATGGGGTTTATGGGATCACCTCTGTGTACTATTTCTGTAACATTTCTATAAATCTACAACTATTCTACATATTTTTTAAAAATTGAAAATACAAATTTGCAACTAGCAGACAAGTCCTAGAGATCTAATGCACAGCATAGTGAGTTCTACAACTATTCTACATATTTTTTAAAAATTGTAAAATACAAATTTGCAACTAGCAGACAAGTAAGTCCTAGAGATCTAATGCACAGCATAGTGAATCGTCAACAAGTTATTAACTTCAAACTTGTAAATAGACTAGCTCCCCACTGTTCCATCACAGAAAATGACAAAGTGACATGATAGAGGTGTTAACTAATGCTATGGTGGTCATCATTTTGCAATCTGTAAGTGTATCAAATCAACACATTGCATACCTTAAACTTACAGGATAATGTATGTTCATTATATTTCAATTTTAAGGAATTGTAAAGCCTGACATCGAGTTTTTTAACTCTTTATCTCTCTCTCTCTCCCTTCCCCTCTGTAAAAAATCAATAAAATATATTTAAAAAAAAAAAATATCAGTGTTACAGTACTCTATTGAATAGTTTTACTTCTTTCATACTTAGGAGTAGGCACCCGACTAAATCACTGTTTTCTAGTATACCAGTATCTGATTGTTTACTTATTGAAACATTTTATTAGAAATTGATTCCATTTATCCTTTATATTACAATAAAGGCATTGGATTGACCCTTTTAAAACTGTGTATATAGGAAAGCTAGATATAAATTTCATTTGAGGATAGTGGGTGTGATGGATGTTATAAATGTTCCGATGTTATAACAAAAAGGGTCTGCTAAGCCTGAGAACCACAATCGTGGACTAGGCTCTTTGAGGGCAGGAAATGTTTTATTATTTCTTACTGCACCCTGTACCAACTAGGTCCTCAATATTTGATTTCCCCATTGCAGTTTCTTTATATGCCTACTCAGAAGCCATTATTCGCTCCTCCATTCTGGCTATCTCAATTTTAACCCAGTGTCTGCCCTCAATGCAGGCAACTTGGGTAAATACAATCCATTTCAGTCAGTGGTTCATTCCCTGCCAGTGATTAGAGCCAGGCAAGTGACCCAGGTAGGATGAGGTCTGAGGAATTCTGCGGAGGAACAAAAGGTTCTTTTCACTGGACAGTTGGTTTATACATGACACCTGGAATTGTGGTAGGTTTTTTTTTAATCCTCACCCAGGATATTTTTCCATTGATTCTTAGCAATTAAAAATTGGGAGAGAAGCATCAATGACACATCAATTGGTTGCCTCCCACGTGATCTCCGACCAGGGCCAGGGATTGAGCCTGCAACCAAGGTACATGCCCTTGACTGGAATCGAGCCCGGGACCTTTCATTCCGCAGGCCAACACTCTATTCACTGAGCCAAACCAGCTAGGGTCATGGTAGGCATCTTTGGTCACAAATATTATTAGCCCCAAAAGAAACCACTGAAAGGCTGGGAAAGATGGAAAGAAACGGAGGTTCTTGGTATCTCTGAACCCTCTATCAACTCATTCTAGAACCGCTGAAGTGCTTGTTACATTTGGTAAAGTTGGGTCTCATTGCCAGCAACAAGCATCCTTACTGATATGACCCTCTTCACAAGCAGCTGCGCTACTAAGAAATAGTTATGTACACTGTGTGAAATGCTGGTTAGAATGCTATGGAGGGAAGCATAAGGGACCCTCTCAGCCATCAGCTCCTACTTCAAAACACCTGTGGAAAACGTCTTCTTTATTTATGCATCCATGTATTTATTTTTATTTCCCATTATTTTAAATTTTACTGGGGTGACATTAGTCTACATGAACATATAGGTTACATGTGTGGATTATTAATTTACAAAATCTGTATATAGGACCATGTGCCCACCACCCAAAGTCAAATCTTCTCCTGTCACCTCATATTAGGACCCCTTCCTTCCCCCACCCCCTCCCTCTGCCAACCACCACACTGCTGTTTGTGTACATAAGTTCCGTTTTATATCCCACATGAGTTAAAGCATATAGTTCTTAGACACAACAGAGTACAACACCACCATAAGGAAAACTTCTTGAGGTCAACCTCACCCTTTCACATCACCACTTCTCCGGTAGGTTAACTTGGAAGTGAATTGTCCCAATTGCTAGCAAAGCTGGTGATACAATAGGTATTTTTTCAAAGCAAGGGCTATCTTTTGACAAGTGTTACTTAGCAAGTACAGAAGGCTTCTTCGGTGAAAATAGGTTTAAATGATTGAACTTATGAATCTAATAACAAGCCCATTTGATGATGTTATCCCGAACATGTGAAACTAGTCTTCGTTGGTTCCCACAACTCACCTTTTGATATGTGGCCATTCTTCTTTATACTCTTTTCTCCTTCAACCTTTTATTCCTTCCTTACTTCCCTCTTCCCACCTTTCCCACACCTCCTTATATTTAGAAACTATCTGTTTGCAGGATATAAAGAATTACATCTATTCCCAGTTCAGAATGAGCCTGCAAGGCCCTTCATATCTTGAGGGCAGCCTTTTTCTTCTTCTAAGAAAGAACATGCTGGAGAGTTTACAAATTAAACACAGTCTTATTTAAATGCTTATTTTATTTCAGTCTATAAGTATGGCCATTTGTTTGAGTTGTTCACATAAATCCATTCCATCCAGAAAGGAAATGTCAAGTGCTTCTAGCAGTGTAAGCACAGTTGGCATGGCCTACCCAAAGATCTTCCACCACAGTCTATAGAAAACCTAAATGTAGTTCAACAAACTTGATATTCTTATTTTCTGGGCCTCAAGAGATTTTTTTAAATCAGTTTGGTTTTTAAAAAATCCATCAAATGTCAATCATGGCAGAGAAGACCACCGAGCTGATTTCTGATACCTAAGTTATCACTGGTCATAATTTATCCTGAATGACGACCGGCATCTGAAAGACCTTAGTGTAGGGCTCTTCACAGGTAACACAAGCACCACTCACACAAGAACAGCCGGGCACCCCCAGAGCAGGTGAGTGCTACAGACTTCCTTCCTCCACTGCCCGCTCCCTCACCACGGTTCTCAGGCCGAGAGCTGAGAGGATAATGCTAAGTCACTGAAGGTTTTACAACAGGAGGCTAGCAGGGGACGTCCTGTGAAGTACTCATTTATGAGGTACATCTGAATGCTAAAAATAATGATGGGATTTTGAGTACTCATGCCTATTTGTATTGCCTTCCATTAATGAGAGTTATTTTACATGTCTACCCTGTGTTAAAAGCACTTTATACATAAGAAGAAATTAGTCTTTCTGTCAGCATCCTCCTCAGCATGATTCTGAGTTCCTCCCAAGAGTGCCTCCTCGCTTGTAAAATAAACACTTTATACTATTTGAAGTGCACAGAAAGTTTTGTTTTTGTTCAGGGCTCTTTACTTTCCACTGTGAAACATTATTTCTGAGGACTGAAACCCCAGGAGGAAACATGTTAAATGTGTTTTTTTAAAAATGATGATTGAAAGGCAGACGTGGAGAGAAGTCAGGTTAGGAGGGAGAAGGCAAATGCGGCCTCTGAAGGGAACTGTTCTAATTATTACCTAAAAAACTAACGTTACACAACCACATTCAAGGACACAAGGCAAAGCACTACTTTAAAACTAGAGGGACTGATCAGGTCGGTGAAAAGCACAGCTGACACAGGAAGGGAAATGCACTTAAGAATAATTTGAATTGAGACAATGAACCATCAGTCCTTGATGCTTCTGTTATCTGAATATATCCAAGTTCCCTGTCTCTCTTTTTTAACTCCCACGGTATCTTTATGGAAATCTCAAAGCAGTATTCTCAGAGACCTAAATAATAGTTATCATTTTGTTAGGATTCAAAATTTCAATCCAGTAGCCATCAGGATCTTGAATAAATGCCAGGCCTTTCATTTTACCTGTAAAATGAAATGATTTTCATTATTAAAAAGACTTAAAAAAAAACCTGAAAAACTTTTAAAAGATTTTTGTTACTTCAAATTTAATTTGCATTCTTTATAGTTTTAATTTTTAAAAATTCTGTTGTCATTGTTGCCCAAAGGCATGTTTTTTGGAATGACTAATATTCTATCTTCTATGCATAGCTAGAAACCAACTCTAATGAAATAAACTGGGACTGAATACATCTTTTAGGTAACAGATGAGTCCCTCCTCTTTACAATATCACTTCATGCTACCAGCTGAGTCATTAAAGAAATTGTCATATATATATATATATATAGAATTGATTTCAGAGAGGAAGGGGGAGAGATAGAGAGATAGAAACATCAATGATGAGAGAATCATTGGCTGCCTTCTGCACGCCCCCTACTGGTGGGGGAATCAAGCCCACAACCTGGGTATGTGCCCTTGGCAGGAATCAAACCTGGGACCCTTTAGTTCATAGGCAGACACTCTATCCACTCAGCAAAACTGGCCAGGGCAGAAATTGTCTTATTTTAGAGGAAGAAGAAAAGAAGGAGGTGCTGGAGGGAGCAGGTGCTTGAATCATACAACCCTGTGAAGACTATTCTGGGAAACCCAAGGTCTGCCGATCCGCTTCGTTCTCACAGGAATTCATAACTGGGGTTGAAAGGCTAGTAGGTCTAGCAAGTAGAGCTGTTTGCTTAAATGGAACAATATTGACCTTGGAAATTTATGGGACTAAGATGCTGAATTAGTTGACTCCTATCTCTAGTTCCTTTCCCCAAAATCACCCCAGAGGAACATAGCAAGTAGGGGAAAAAGTAAGAACCCCTTGGGTGAGGGTTGTGGAGAGGAATTGTGGGGATGAGGTAGGGTGACAGTTTAATTGGTCTATGTGGAAGCGGGTACTTTTGGCCTGGACCATCATGGCCATCCATCATGTGTGGGAGAATAAACAGAAAGAGTTTTGTTTATTTGACTCTTGCTCCTCCCAGTGGCTGTGGCATCAGCACCACCCCATACCAGGGAGAGGGAGTGGGAGAGGGTGCGTGGTCCTGGTTCAGATGTCTTCGGGAGTAAATAATGGCTCCGGACACAGAAACCTGTGGGGAACTGAGAAAAACACGTGGGAACCGATGGTCCCCTCCAGCCTTCACTTTCCACACAACCAGGCTTAGCGGGTGACAATCTCAGGAGTGTCTCCTAGTAATACTGCTAATATGTAGTCCTGGAGGGACAAAGCAGGAAGATCTAAGCAAGAGACTTGTTCTGGGAATGTGAGGTGTTTAACTGTCATTTTCAGTGCCCAGGGATTTCTGCCCAGCCCACCTTCCTGTCACTGGGTTGTCAAGATTGAATCTGGCTTTCTCCTCATTCACGTTGCCTGATGGGCTGGGATACCTAATATTTGCAATAAAAAACATACCCTCTGAGACCAAAATAACAAGAATTTGAGGAACATAATAACCATAAAATAAACAATGGATTATAGATTCAAACAGAACAACAAATATTAAGCCAATTGACCAAGAACAATTAAAACGTGTAAAAGTGATGAGGAAAATGAAATATAACCAATATGAATCAAGAACAAGAAAAGTTAAAGGGCCCAGCTCAGTGGTTGAGCATTGACCTATGAACCAGAAGGCCATGGTTCCATTCCCAGTCAGGGCACATGCCTAGGTTGTGGGCTCAATTCCCAGCGTGGGTCATGCAGGAAGCAGCCAATCAATAATTCTCTCTCATCACTGATGTGTCTGTCTCTCACTCCCTCTCCCTTCCTCTCTCTGAATCAATAAAAATATATTAAAAAAAGAAAGAAAAGTTTAAGCAACCAAGCAAAACTTAGGAATCAAAATTATAATAGCTGAAATAACACAATAGATGAGAACACAAAAGATGACTATCAGAACAGATACATTTGAGAAAAAAATTAGCTAACTGGTATGCCAGTTTGAGGAAATCTCCTAGAAAGAAGGCAAGGAAAAAGAAATAATAAATTTTAAAAGCTTCTAGAACAAAACAGAAGATAATATACAAAAGAACACAAATCAGCCCTAGCTGGTAGCTCAGATGGTTAGAGTGTCGTCCTGATACGCCAAGGTCGTGGGTTCAATCTTGGGTCAGGGCACATATAAGAAGCAACTAATGAATACATAAATAAGTGAAACAACATGAGTTTCACTTGTTGAAACAACAAGTGAAATCGATGTTTCTCTCTCCCCCTTCCTCTCTCTCTAAAAATCAGTAAATTAAAAAAAAAAAATCGAAAGAACACAAATCAGAGAGCAGATTTTCAACAGCAACATTGGAAAACTGAGACAATGGAGTTCTATGTCCAAGAGTGAAGAAAAATAATCCTAAAATTTTATATTCAACAAAACTGCCATTTGTGTCTGAAGGCATGGTTCTCAGGCATACAAAGCTTCAAAAGTTTGTCTCACAAACCTTTTGAAAACAGTTTGGGTTGAGGTACTTAATAAAGGGACAGAAAAATCTTAAAAATGCTGTAAGAGACGTATGGAGAAAAGGTGATCAAATACTTTGAAATCGTACTTATTATCTTTAAAAAATGAATCATATCCAAGTCTGGGCAATAGTAACATGATGGGAGTAAAAGGGAACAAGTTCTTTTCCTGTTGGGGAAGATATCTGGATATCAAATCTTTTAATTGAAATAAATAGAAAGAATTAAAATGAAACAGTGAAAACAGTCAAGAGTTTCAAATGAAAATTGAAATAATAAATTATGATGGCAGAAACAAATCTAAGTAAAATAAATTATATTACATGTAAATCCAACAAAATCTTGACATATACTATTTCAAGAAACATATATAAAACTTAAGGACATGCAAAGGTTGTAAAAGGTGAAAAAGAAATACGAGGCCATTATTAACTGAAGAGATTTGGTATAGTTATATTAATATCAGATAAAGTAGACTTTAAGGAACTTATTTTGGGGTGGCTAGATAACACCTGAGATAGAGAATAAGGTGGGGTCCGAGGGTAGGTGAGGAGCCTAGGTCTTTGATGGCTCCCCATATCCTGTGACTAGTTCCTTGTGAGGCACCGTAGTCGCTGTCTTTCAGGTCCTAAATAAGCAGGTATTCTTCCAATAACTCCCTTCTTTCATTAAGCCAGTTGAAGTGGACTTCTTCAAAGTTACTTGCAACCAAAAGGGTTTTACTACAACAGGGCACCTTCCCGAGGGTGCTCAGTGAATGTTCTATAACTCACCATTCAATAAAATATATTTAAAAAAAAAAAAAAGGGTTTTACTACGACTGTGCCCTTCCCGTGGGTGCTCAGTGAATGTTCTGTAACTCACCATCGTCAGGCTTCTTCACAAATTTGACTCCGAGTTCTTCAAATCTTTTGCAAGCACCGTGTACATCAGGAACTGCAATTCCGATGTGACCTTAAGTGACCACCCCCAAAACAAGGCAAAGAGAAGGAAGAAATCATTACAACAGGGTGGCCAAGTTCCACAAGTGGCTTCCAAAACTAGTATATTTTAAAACAAAAGGCATCCAAAGATAGACTGAATCAAGTAGGTTAGAAAACCATAATATTACAGGGTGAAGCAAAAGTAGAATTATAGTTGTTGATATGGAAAATAATACAATAATATAAAAATAAACTGTTTCATGTACTCATAACTTTAAACCTACTTTTGCCCTGCCCTGTATTAAAGAATAAGAATCTACATCTAACTGGCTGGGTATAATAAATTAATTAGTTGCTCTGAATTATAAATTATTGAAAATAAGGACAAAATTGACTCATATATTAAGAATAAACTATTAAGAATAGGTTATTCAATCTATTAAGAATAACCTACACAAAAGAATAATCATTTACTCATACTTAATAGGTTTGTGGTTGACACTGACTATGTAACAGCCAATTTAAGCCTGCAATCCCATTATCTTGACTGAAAGGATTTAGTTCAAGGCAGAAGTATATGCTAGCAAGAATCAAGATTATTATTCAAAGGACAAAATTGACTCATATATTAAGAATAAACTATTAAGAATAGGTTATTCAATCTATTAAGAATAACCTACACAAAAGAATAATCATTTACTCATACTTAATAGGTTTGTGGTTGACACTGACTATATAACAGCCAGTTTAAGCCAGAAATCCCATTATCTTGACTGAAAGGATTTTTAGTTCAAGGCAGAAGTATATGCTAGCAAAAATCAAGATTATTATTCTATGATTTGTGAAAATAAAAATAACAATAACCTTACTCTTAATAAATGACTTACACTTAATGCTTTAGATCTGTTACAATCATAAAAAGGAATGCAGTACAAACAGCACACAAAGCCATATATATTATATACAAGTAGGGAAACATACCAAACCCTCGAGGGTCTGAGTTGCCGCTGTGGTAACTCTGGGTCTCATCCTCCTCAGTGCCCCAGTTGCTATGAAAGGAGGGAAAACACAATTACAAGGAGCCTGTAGAACAGATATTCTGAAAAAAGTTGCAACAATCTGTCTTGGAAATCTTACCATATATATTATTTGATATACTTGGTCTAATCCAGTGATGGCGAACCTATGACACCGTGTCAGAAGTGACACGCGAACTCATTTTTTTGGTTGATTTTTCTTTGTTAAATGGCATTTAAATATATAAAATAAATATCAAAAATATGTCTTTGTTTTACTATGGTTGCAAATATCAAAACATTTCTATATGTGA